GAAAAAGGTTGATGAGGGTGATGACTGGATGATAAATAGATGAAAGTGACTTGGGCATGGACGTGAATTTATGTGAGGAAGAGTTGCGCAATTCGTCCACTTTACTCTCTCGCCTGTGTCCGTCTTGATCTAATGGCAGGACACTGTCGAGACGATTGGAGATGGACCTAGGTGCAGTGCAAGACCAAGGCATCTAAAGTGCCCAGAGTAACAAGTAACACGTTTTGCTTTTAGCTCTCCACAGAGCCTGCTGGTGCTCGCCTTTTTGGCCATTGAACCATAAGATGTTTCATTCGCACAATCCGCCGTGTCCAGTCTTTGCATGCATCATAGTTAACAGAATGCATACAGAGCATTTGACCACCTTTTGAATTTTAGTTGCAAAGGAATCAAGCAGGCTTTCTGATTATGCACCACAATGTCTTTGCAAGTAGCCCCAAAACTGAGAAATGGCTAAGAAAAAATTTAAAATATTTTTTTAGCACCCCCCCCCCCTCCCCCTCCTCCATGGATTACAGGTACCCTAGGTTGCCATGGGAGATAGATATCGTAACTACGCCCCTGCATTCAAGCATCCTAACCATAAGGTATTCTTAACTTCATTCTATTCCCTCTTCTTTTTCTTCTCCCATGGTCGCCTTCTCCTCTCACTCCTTAAAATTCAACTGCTGCCACACCGACGTTGTAACCATTATAAGTCCATCAGGATCAATTCCTCCCAAACCCTAATGTTTTCCCGCTCTCCCGTATTTGCCAAGTGCTCATAACTCCCGGTGGTGTATGCTCTAATGGTTCCTTAGTTGGGGGCTTTCCTGAATTTCTTTCCGTTGAATTCGCCGAGCTCCGCGGGGAGCATTAGTCTGGCTGTCGGTGTGACGCCACATATATCGTAACACTCTTTATTTGTATGTGCGTCAATGTGCACTCGAGTGCCTGCCTATTTTTACGTGCAGTAACAATAATCTGTCTAACATTACTATGCTGCTACAAATAATCACTTCGTCCATATTCAATACTGAACGTCCAAGATGTGATAAATCTTTTTATACGTGTAGGTATATTTGTTTATCTGAATGTTTCAATGTGTTCACTTGAATGTGTGTGAGTTAGTAGTAGTAGTACATTTTACCCCACTAGGACGTCACACAAGCGATAAACATCCGATGACACAAAGTGTCACCATGCGGATGAGGATCACCCGTGGAGAGGTCCCAAAAACCACATTCAGCCTTTAGGCCATATTCATGGCAGGGCTATATTGCGGCCCCTGGCAAGAGCCAGGGTGGGGCTTAAGAATAACGAAAAATTGCATCTCACAAGGAGATGACGATTGTAATATATTAAATGTGTGTAAGTTGAGGTATGATTTGGGCTATCTTCAGAGCACTCCAGACAGTCCACAGGTGCTCAGATTTCGCTATATATATGTACATATATACCAGCCTCCCTGTTTAATAGTACCAGTCCTCTGCTGGTTAACAAGGCTTCGTGTGAGTCTTGTGTGACTCTCATACTTGTCAGTGCCGATGTTTACTCCTAATTCTCGTATTCTTATCAGTGGACACGTTGGTCCCAAAATACCCGTATCTTCCCGTCTCTATAACAACGTCAGCGCGATCCATAGGCTGACCATCTGCAACTAAAGTAGAACTGGCCAATTTATCCACGCTTTCATTGCCTGCCAATGCGTGTTTTATTAATAGGGGTCTACAGAAAATCTACATATCACGGATATAACAATCGGTTTTTGCATCAGTATATCTCCGTAACCTTTTGCACACAAAATATGTGTTTTCACAGGGCACCAGACTCCTCGTGTGGGGTCGGGGTATTTTGTTTGGAGGAAACTGGGAATGAGTAGATTAGAAACCAGTAAACACAAAGAAAAAGAAGATGAAGAAATGTACCCGACACTAAAACGCCGGCTCAAAGTCTTACATCAGTCCCGACGCGTATTTGTTCTTCTTCAGTGAATGAATGAAGGGCCCCATGAAGTCGCGGATTTTTATCAGATATGAATATGGCTCCCAGATTACCCTTACCCCACCCCACCCCCTTCCAGTGAGTATCAGCTAAAGTCAAGGGTCTTTTGAAATCGTCTACCGAATTAAAAATCAAAGGACCCTTTTCCACGCCTTCAAATGTTTGACACATATAGGACTAGACCTATGTTTTATAGACCAATAGGTACTTAGCGGGTGATGTTGTCTTCCCCACGTGGGCCATCTTTACTTCTCAAGACATTACCTGGTACCCATTTAAGGCTGGGTCGACCTGACAGCCAAAGTCATTTTTGAAAAAAACGCACGAACTTCGGATCCACACACGAGCGTCTAGCCTCTACACCACACATGCTTCCCATCTACCTAGTGCCGATTGGTATACCTAAATACACATAAATAAACAAAAGTTGAGCCCTTGGGGCCTACAAATTTTATATATGAGAAAATAACAGACAATGATCATTTATCATAAATATAAATACCAGTTTAGCCACACATGTCCGAAGACCACAGGCATAAAAACGGGTTCTGTACTGTTCCTAATGAATTGCTTGATATTGCCACGCCGATCCCTGGGGCTGTCTGCGTGTAACAAGCTTATGACTGCACTTCGTTGACAGGACATAAATGATTTTATGTTATAAGTGTGGTTACAGTTTTTGAAATAACATATTTGTGATACTGGGAACGATCCCACTGTTACTGGATCATCATTAAGTACTTGTCTTTTTTAAATGAGTGATCAGGTTTTGATTTTTTCAATAGAAACGACTCTTCCAATTTAAAAAAAAAAAAAAAAAGCTTTTCTTTTTCTTTTCAGCATCACAATGGCACAAACCACAGATTGATTCTTCACATATAACGACCCCTAAATATTAGACGCATTTTGTGTGTAGTTATTTTAAAGCCCACCCAGCTGTCATGGATGTAACAGTAGAACGGGGATTGTGTGGCTTGTGCCCCGGTGATACTCATCTAAATGGTAGCACTTTATGTCAACCAGTGTTATTCGTTCGTTGTGCGGTCATGGTGGGATTAAAAGTCACTCTTAAATTAGTACTGTCTTCTCCTCACCAAGCAGGGAAGCGGTAGCGAAATCCAACGCTTAACGATATTAGCTGCTGTAAACTAAATATGCAGTGTTCACAGCCATAATTTTCAACGCTGCAACTTGATAAGTGAAGACTGAGTTCTCTGCCCTGGTTCTCCTTCTTGTCTTGAGTTCTCTGCCCTGTCTCAATGCCTGTCTTACGGCACTGTGGCTACTGATAATTGAATGCAGATCACCCGTAAACATTTGCATTTCATGACTAGCAATATTTCCTGGATGTGATAGTAAGAAAGCAATAACATAGAATACAATGAAAGCGAACACCGTCAGTGCTCGCTCGGTGGAATTGTGTGGAGTACATCGATGTTTATATTTGTAAATAATTATTGAAATAACAAGTCAAGAAGCTTGCAATGAACAATAATCCAGTCAAAACTGTATTTACATAAGGACAACAAAATTACATTCAATCCAAATTAATTAGTAACTAGAGCATGGTCTCTCATCTCATCATATGGCAGGTTTTTTGCGGAACGTCGGTTTTATTACGGTCTGCCTAAAAGAAACTGGGTCTCTCGCCAGCTATCCCACCTCGAGTATTTACATATTCAATGAGTCAATTATATTCTGTATCCATCTTGTTGTTCCACCCCTGTCCCTCCTTCCTGGTACCATACCTTCCGCTATTATTGTTTCTCAATCGGCTATGGCGCTTGATACAGAGCGTGGCCTCTAGCAAAGAATAAAGTCATGACACTGTGTTTTACTTTAGTGAATCAGTTGGAATTGCCTTATTTCTAACTCTCCAGAAGGTTGGACGGGGTATTTGGGATTTTCTCTGCTGATTTCAAATGCAGAATAACACTAGATGTCGCAGGAGAGGCCCAACCTTCACTCGGAGGGCAAAAACAGACTGTAAGGAAGAATGAGAGGCAAAGCCTGTAGGCCTGCTATATGAAGGAAGGTTCCTTGGTTGTCTTTTTTGGTTTCCTTTTATTTGTGGTGTGTAGTCACACCTGATATTCCGGTTCTTTGCTTCCTTGCTGCGGTGTGGTGCTTGTGGTTTTTGGGTCTGGTGTGGTCCAGTTCTCTTAGTGCTGATGTCTGTGGGTTTTAGCTGATTGTTGCTGGTGCTTGGTTTACCTCGTGCTGATCGCTGTGCTGAATTACATTTACTTTTTGTATGATTTATGTATTCTCTACGAATGTATATGGAGGTTACTTAGCGACACCACACTGTTTCTTCGTGCCCTCCTAACCAAATGAAAGGTTTACATGCACTAATTATTACACTAGCGTAGCGTTTTATTTAATTGTTTTTTAATCTTTTAATGGAAGTGACAGGTCACTTCCAAGAACGAAGGAATCACAACTGCGCAGACAGGACTTAGATGCTTTTGTTTTCTCTCATGAGATATGAGACTATTGCCTGGAGACTGAGGGTAGATGGTTATAGCATGCAGTTTGCTTAATCTTGTCTCTAATAGAAATGGCCCCTGTCTCAAGAGTTCAGTACGAGTCCTATTGTAGGGGAACAAGTGTAGACCCACTGCTCCCTAACAAGCTTGTATTTACGGGTGTTTCTTTCGAAGTCGGCGTGCACCTCCCTGAGAGGTGAGGAACCAGCAGTCTGCACACAGATAAGCAAGATCTGTGAAGTGGATGTAACGAAAATCTCAAGCTGCCGAACAAGACTACAGTCCAGAAGTGAACAGATATAACTTTTCACCAGAGTTTACAACTGGTGAACACCAAACAGAAGAAAAAGGAGAAAAAGAAAAAGAAGAAGAAGAAGAAGAAGAAGAAGAAGAAGAAGAAGAAGAAGAAGAAGAAGAAGAAGAAGAAGAAGAAGAAGAAGAGAAGAAGAATAAGAAGAAGAGGTGATGAGGACAATGTTGCAAAAGAGAAAAAAAAATAGGTTTCACAAAATACATGTAAATATTCTATTAGGGTTCACCATGGGATTTAAACCGAGGACGTGTGGTTAGGTTTCTAGCTGTCTGATCATTGTATAATAAATGATTTATAACCGTCTGGTAATTTGCTGTCAGATTCTGGAGGTAGCGATCTGCTATGATTAGGTCCTTCTCCCAAACGCTACACCGCATGCCAAAGTTAGCTACACATTTCCTGTAGTGGTGGAGATACGCCAGAGATGGATCCACGCCCCAAGAGCGCCAGTCTTCTCGGTTTTGTTTGCTGATGTGGTGGATTCCAACCTCAAACACTCGCCAGGGGCACAGCATGACTTTGGTTCGAAC